ATTTAGTGAGCCAATGTGATGACCTGCAGAATGTCGAGGTAGTCAAGGTCCCTATGGACCACACTACAACAGAAGGCAACAGAATTAACATAGCCCTGGAGCAAGACAGTGAATATTCTACCGCTTCTGTGTGAAGGTGACCTATGTTTGATCTTTTCTGTTGAAGGAGAAGAATGCTTTCATTAGATCCAAATCCACACACCAGATGTCAGAGGGTGTATTGATTTATTGCAGCAAAGCTATGACTTGGTTCAGATTACAGAGTCCTTGAACAGGGATATGATGGAGAACATCACCACCCTTGCGTCCCTTATGTCTTTGAGGACTAATCTAACACTACTCCTGGGATGTGTATTGCTTCTGATTTAGCATCTGGGCCAGGGATGGAAGCAGTTTCAGGGGATTTCATTTGTCTTTTCCTATCATAATGGCCCTGACTCCACAGCTAAGTGGACCAATGTGAGAATTATGCCATTTCTAAATATATCTTTCCCAATTACAAATGCAGAGACAGAGGAAATAAATGCAGAGCAGGCCTGTGAACCGGTCGGACTGACTGGAAAACAGACACAGGTTGGGATTCCACTTCTTACCAGGTCTCTACATGCCTCTACTCTAACTGGAGGGTCATGATGTTGTTTTGGGTCCCCAGGTATCAGTGTCAGTTCAGACCCCACGTCTTACAGATCTGGAAAAGTCTGGGTATTTCCCCAATGCCCAGTTACCCTACCAAACAATAGCAAGTTCTATGGAAATATTGAGGGAATATTTACAATACTTTTCCAAGGTCCCTCCTCAAGGGGATATGATCTCATCAACCAAGGGGCTCTGTCTGTAAGCCAACATAGGTCTAAAAATTGCATGAACATCCATGATTTCCCACTGAGGCAAAGGGTTTTATCATCTATTCTTTTGTGCTCAAATTTTTTCATTACACTGATGGAGTAACATCCTGATCAGCTGGCCAGCTGTCTCAACCCAAATACAAATGATCTATTAATCATTGCCATAGATCCCAACAGATCAAGCCCCTGATTGCCACTCCAGCCTTCTTGCCCATTATGGAAATCATATCTATTATGGAAATCATATCTACTTTATCAAAGAAAGCTAAGTGCACTCCTGGCTTCTACCATTCCCAAATCCCATCATCCTTGGTGATATTATAGAGCCTAGTTCTTTCAAAGCATCTTCAGCTGTCAGTTCTGCCCAGAAAAATTTGCTGAGCTCCTCAAAAATGCTGGTTTCCACTCACTAGTGCATTCCATATTGTCTTAGAGAAGGGAGTGTTCTGTGATCTGTCCTGGTTATCACACTCCCTGGTGGGTTTCAGGGCATAACATATAAAGTCCACTCTAACATCTACACATGCTGACACTTTCTTTTTAATTGTCCCCAGAGGATATGTTTATTGATTTTAGAAAGGTAGAGAGAGAGATTGAAAGATGTGAGAGAAAAACATAGATCAGTTGCCTCCTGTATGTGCCCCAGCTGGGGATTGAACCCACAACCTAGGTATGTGCCTTGACCAGTAATTGAACCTGCAACCTTTTGGTGTACAGGATGACCAGCCAACCAAACAAGTCACCCCGCCAGGGCCATTTTGAGACTTTTGACATTTTCTTCGGCACTATGCCAAAAAGTTCTTGCATCTTTTATTTTCTGTAGGCCATCATCATATCCAAGACTCAAGGAGCCATCCCAGCCATTAAGATTGTCTCTTTGCCAGAATAACATGGGTAAGCATCACCATGTTAATAAGTTGTGCCTTATCCAGCATCATATTTCACCTTGTCCCCACCTGTCCAACACCCTCAAGCTTCACTCTCACATGTGTTCCCTTCATTCCTACTGAAATATACTGGTGAGGCCCTGCAATGCTTTTGACAAACTGTTTCATTCCAGAGTTTCTTCTGTTGGGCTGTGCTGACCCTGATTATCAGCTTGGAAGTAATAAGGAGTAGCAGTGAATGATCTTGAGGAAAAAAAACGTTGCCCTATACCTGCCTCAGGCATGTTTTTGTGTGGTCTTCATGGCAGGTGAGGTTATTCTCCTCTGGTAAGGAGAACGGGACTGCTTCTACTAACCTGGACATTCAAGTTCTCAGACTCTTCCCACAAAAGTACCCCCATCCAGATCTCAGTGTCCCACTCTCTTTCAGTCAGGGCCTTGACCTTGATATAGAGGAACCATTGAGGCTGTATCTTCAGCTCTGTCAGCATTACAGTTTGATCTTGGGACTGATTTTCAGCATATCTGTCCTGCTGCTTCAGGAGTTGAGAGTCTACTTCAAAATTGTCATGAGGTCTCTGGCTTTGAGGTTGTACCTTGAGTTGGCAGGAGGCCACCCTGAGGCCATCATATTCTTTTTTCAAGGTTTCAAATGCCGTTAAAAGCAGCCAGCTCACTCCATAATCCTTATTATTATTGTCCAAACACTGCATATTCTAGTGATTCACCTTCCACTTGAACCTAACCTAACCACTAACTAACCACAGGCAAAAGCCTTAGTACTTGGGATGACCCTGCTTGCTAAGGATTATTTACCATTACTGACTCTTGGCTCCAAATGTTGTAGCCCATTTGCTGTGATGAACAGTGCCTTAAAATTTGTGTCCACTTGGAACCTTGGAAGGTGACCTTATTTAGAAATAGTTTTTGCCAATGTAATTAGTTGTTAAGGTGAAGTCACACTGTATTAGGGTGGGCCCCAAATCCAATGACTGGTGTCCTTATAACTAGACCATATGGAGAGACACAGGCACACAGAGAAGAACGTCATATGATGACAGAGGTAGTGATTGAAGTGATGAAGCAACAAGCCAGAAAACAAGAAGGATTGCTGGCAACCACCAGAAGTTAGGAATCGGGCATGGGACCGACTCTCCTTCAGAGTCTCCAGAAGGAACCACCGCTGCAGCCTTGATTTCAGACTTCTGTCTTCTTCAACTGCTAGAGAATAGAGCTCTGCTCTTTTAAGCCATTAATTTACTAGTCCTGCATCTGGCAGTACAATCTCAGTAAGCAGGAGTGAGGGTCAGTGAAGTGAATCAGGGAAGGGAGGATGGCCCATGTGAAGATGTGATATCTAGCTGGCTGTCATCAGCTATAGAGCCACTGAAAGAATGTGTGCACAATGGCTCAGTACTATCTATTGAGGAGACAAAGGGGGATTAATATATTTAGATGGTCACATTTGCCATTGATGAAAACCCTGTGGGGTATGAATTCTCCCCCATTTACAGGTTGCACATGCATTGTCACTGGGTTTTCCCAGTGGGACACCTGGACCCATGCAAAACATGCAGCTGCTATCAGACATCAGGCAAAGACAGAGGAGGAAAACGCACATGCTCTTTTCTTCCTTGACCTCCAGCCTTCAGCTCATGCCTTTCATTGTGAGAACCTAGCCAGAGCCAGCTGAATCAGAGGCCTAGGAAATACAGCACGCTCTGGTGTCCTTTTATGTAGAACAAGGAAGGGTGAGAAATGAATCTGAGAGCCAGTAGGCCAGGGACAGGCACAGCAGGCATGGTGGCATTGGGAAAGGACACAGCCGTGATTTCCAAGAATATGCCCTGACTGCTGCGAAGACAACCTCATATTGCAGCTGATGTACTGGCTTTCCTCACGGGGCCGAGGGGGCCACCGCACAGTAGACTGATCCTGATGACAGAGGGATCGTGTGGGTCCATGCTCTTCTCAAAGCTACTTTATGCAGGTTACATAAAGAAGGCTCACTTATGAGACTGAATGGGGGTGGCTGGCTCTGATGTACCCAGATTAGACAATAATAAGTAGTTAAGTTTGCTAGTGGGTGAATGGAAAACACGAAAGTGAAGGCCTATTGTACAGACTTCATTAGATCACTTGCATTAGTGGAGAGTTGCGGATTTGTCTGTTGCCAGTACAAAGTCTTAGACATGGGGAGCCTCATAAAGTTTCGGGGGTAAGGGGTATACTGAGACTTGGCAGGTACACAGGTGGAGAAGCATGGGAATGTCACAACAGGCAACAGAAACTGTTTTATCATTCCATACCAGAAGTGAACACGGCTTGCCAGGAATGCAGCAAGATGGAGCTTTGGAATTAGGTGGGCCCCTGATCACTGATGGAAGCTGGCAACATTTTTCTCAAGCACCTCTCCTGCCCAAGTTAAATTAGACCAGTTAGTGGTCATCTGTTAATCTTCCCCAGTCTTTTCTGCTATAGAACAAATTCATAATATGGTCCCGCCTTCTGTCATCTGTAACTCAGCTTTTAAGATCTAGTCGTAAAGTAACTACTGCATGGTCCTTTTCAGTCTAGTGTTTGCCGATGTCTTATGAATGAAGAAGACTGAAATCTAGAGCTCTGTTCATTCCACTGTTCAACGTAAGTTTGCTGAGTACTGACTACATCTTAGTGCTGAGGGAAAAGCAAAAGATGTGACAGCGACTTTCCCTGACACAGGAAACCTCATTTTGCCAAGGGAACATGTAACTTTGGAGATGTAATTACGAATGACTGAACCTAAGTCTCAGGATCAGGAAAGGATTTTCTGAAGACTGACGAGGTATTAGATTGGCCCATAGAAAGGCTCCAAGGCAGGAAAAAGTGTGGCTTATCTGAGGACATAAAAGCTTGGCCTGGCCTTGGTCAGGTGGCTCAGTTGGTTGGAAAGTCATCCATAAACCACAATGGTTGCAGGTTTGATTCCCAGTTAGGGCACATTCCTAGGTTGGGGGTTTGATCCCCTGTCTGGGTGTGTGTGGGAGGTAACCAACTGATGTTTCTCTTTCCCGCTTCTCCTCTCTCTAAAATCAATAAAAACATATCCTTGGGTGAGAATTAAAAAACAAAAGCTCAGCCTGGTCAGGGTGTCTAGCTAATGGAAAGAAAGGGTCTGAAGGTCAATGAGGTAATAGATTTTTATTATTTGTTTCTATGCTGTGGTTAAGCAGACTGCTATTTTAAACCATTATCTTATTAAAAAGAATCAATACTTGAAAGTCTGAAATTCAATTTGCTGTACATTTATTGTTTCTACACTCAGGTAACTTAAAATCTAACAGAAAAGTTAAGACACATTTTCGTATTGTTATAATATATAATACAAGTCGGCATGTGCCTTGAGGGAAGGTCAGAGTGCTACGTGAACACTGGGGTACGTGTGTAGGATTTGTGCTGCATTTGTTTCTTCAACAAGTATTTAACAGGTGCCTTCTCTGGGGTTACGAAGATAAACAAGATAAGGAATTCAGTCTTCTGGAGGAACCAGACACATATATAAATAATTAGAATGTATAAGTGTAAAGATAGAAATATGCACAGGCTCTAATGGGATAACAGCAATACTTATAATTTATTAAGCGCTTATTAAACACTTTACAAACATTTTCCCATTTGTTTCTCACAATAACCTCCTAAGGTCGGTATTGCTACCCTTATTTTTGAGATGAAAAAACCAGCACTCTGAGAAGTTAAGTAAGTTGGGAACCTTCTAAAGTTTAAAAGTTGAAAAAGTGGAATTCAAACCAAGTTCTTACTGACAAGAAGCCCCAGGCTCTTAACCTCCATAGTACACTGCTTCCCAGTAACACACGCGTGCTCAGAGCAGGGCGTGCCATCCGAGCTACACCAGAGGTAAGGAGTGCCTGCTTGGGCTGAGTTTAGGAATTAGGAGATTAGTCCAGGTCAATGCTATTGTGGCTAGAACTGGGGTGTGGGGGGTAGCAGGGAACTATTAGTGGAACCCTCTGAAAGGGCTGTGTTTGTTCATCAGAGATGGTCAGATGTTGGCAATGTCATACGCCTCATCTTAACAGAATGGCAAGAAGAGACAAATCCTTTAATGAAGTCCAAGAAAATGTACATTCTTACCATTTAAGTTAAATTGCAAAATATTTCTTGGAGCACTTACTTTCAAACTAATTACTCAAATAGGAAATATTTTCCATTTTCAATCATCTCGGGTCAATTTGAAAAATGGCTTTTATTTTTTATTGGTCTTCACTTTGTCCATTGTGAAGCTGAGTTGCCAAAATTGCCTTCAGTACAAAATTGCCTTTAGCCTTTTGTGCTTCAAAAGGGGAAAGTTTCCACTTCCTTATTTCATCTTGAAAACTTTCAAAAAGTTTGGGCAGTGCCCAGTGCTGTCCTCATTACTCACTTCATCACTTCAGCTCTAGTTCTTGCATTTGGCATACAGCAGATGCCAAGTTCAACACTGTTCAAAATCCCAGAAGACTTTGGGACCAATACCCAGTGACCCGTCTCTGAGCTGAGTCTAACTTTTCAACAAAGTAACAAAATGAAGGCAGCAGGCTTTATTATCTCTTATAATTAACTAGGATAAAAAAAAAATCACACACACTTAAGTGGTGCTCAAACTTTGCTGTATATAAGACTCGTCCCAGGAGATTGTTAAAAAAGAAAATTCCCGCTGGGTTTCACAAAGATTCTGATTCAGCACATCTTGGGTGGGGTATAGAAATCTATTTTTAACAAAAATTTGGATAACTGTCATACAAGTAGTTCATGCACTATTTTTTGAGGAATTGACAAGCTAAATCGGGGAACAATTTTTTACAATCATCCTAATAATACCATCATTTTGAGTTGGTATTTCCTCCAGTGTTCTGAGTACATCTCAGCTCATAATATTTCTGAAGAACATTTTTCTAAACTTTGGAAATACTCTGAGGAAATGAATGGATAAAATAAAGTCTTAAAAAGTTTGCCACAGGTTTTCGGCTCTTTGGAGACAAGAGTCATTGTTATGGTTTTCCATGGCCATGTTTCTGTTTTCTCTAGCCCCCTAAATGTTGAAGTGGGAAGAGGAAGACAACAGAGCATTTAGAAGCAAAGATAGTGGACTGTCGTTGGGAATGCTAAAGTCGCCCAGGATAGTAGCAGGAATGGGGTGGAGAAAAGTGTTCTGAGCTAGGGAGGGAAATCCTCAGAGAAAGGTGGGAACTAGACACTTTTCAGAGCTGAGGACGGGTAGGGATACCTTTAAAACAGGAGCGGTTTTTGAAGGCAAGTTATGGAATAGCAGTCCGGATGCATCAGTGGGAACCAGTTTTTGTCCCTGGCCACTGAGGTTCTGAGGGCTTGGGAGAATGACTCATCTCTGCTGAAGGGGATTGGGGAGAAATGTAGTTGCCAGGGGACCCAGGGCCCAACACAGAAGGATGCCAAAGAAAGGTACTGGATTTCTCCCAACATCTTTGTTGTTGGTCAAAAGAGGTTTCCTCAAACAATGAAATATTGTTTGGCGATTCCACTGGGTATAAGGCCGAAAGACAAGCAGCGTTTTGAGTGTGGATACGGAACCCCAGAATGTGATGACCTCAATATGTTTAAAGAAAATGTCCAGGAATCACTTTTCCTTGGGAAGCTTGGTGGATGAAAGAACACACACTTCAGAGCAGGAATTGGAAGGTGGGACACTTAGGGGCCAGCCAGGTAAGGTCAACGAGTGACGATGGCTGGGTGAGGGCATGAACAGACAGAGGCCTCTGGCTTCTCTAAATGAGCTGACCTCAGATCCGCCCAACTATTTCCAGGTGGGCAGGTAGGATGAGGGTATCAGCAACTCTCCATCATTGATGAAACAGTTCCAATTTTAAAACGTTGGCAACTAATTCAAATATTAAATACAATGCATTGTAGGCCAAACCAAACATATCCGTGGCCAAATCTGACCTGTCGGCTGCTGGATATGGCCTCAGCTTTGGAGCCAGAGAGATCTTGCCAGGAAGCTGGCTCTGGGGCCTGTCCTTAAACCTCTCTGACCTCAGTTTTCTCATTCATAAAATGATGGGTGGAATAATACCTTTCATTTTTTTGATAAGGATTAGACATACTCTTCATGTCATTAAATGTATGTATTTTACCAGTGTCTGATACCTGGTAAGTGCTCAGTAAATGGCTTTTATATTAACCAAAATCATGCATTTTTTCAACATTACCTCCCAAATCTTAATAAACAAATACATCATCTTAGAAATGCAAAAGGTTACTGCATCCACAGCTATATTTTAGGTTTAGGTGTGACTGACAACTAGTACAGAAAAGGCATGTGGTTCAGATCACCTCTCTTAGTTGCCCCGCCCCAGTGCCTTCTCTTTAGATCCACTGGTCCTATAGATGTCTGAAAGTCATAAGGCAGAAACATGTACATTACACATGAAGAGAAGCTATAGAGGAAGCTTTAAACTATGTCAGCAAAAACATTTATCAAAGTAACTTTCCATGCAGTGCTTTGTTAGAAATGGTACAAAATGAGTGAAACAGAGATAGTTCCTTTCCTTCTGCAAGACCTAAGACATATTCCAATGACGACAGAGATTTTTTTATACTCATATGAAGAGGGATATAAGAAATGAAAAAATTAATGAAGCAAAACAAAAGTAAGGGAAGGAATGCTTGCATCTATTGGTTAGAGAAGAATCTGATGCAAGTCACATCAGGGGGAAATCATTTTGCCTTTTTCTATTGATCAGAGAGCTCATGAAGTGTAAGACTTCAAAACTAAATAATCTAAAGAGATTCCTTGATGAGTTAACATGAAATGAATGTCCAGATAGAGAAAGAAGAGAGTACTTCAAATAGAGTGTAAGGCTTGAACAGGGACTTAGAGATGGGGAAAATGATTGCTTACATGGATTTATTGCTGACAATATATTTTCTTGGAAGGATCTGATCTTAGTGAAGAATTAAGATATGAATGAATAGGCAATTTTAAGAACTAAATGATGTGAGGCAACACCCTTTCATTGAACTCAGACTTGCCTTCTTCAGATAGGGTATCCCCAAGCTTAGGAGAAATCTGCTGTCTTCTAGCTGAACACTCATTTATCTTGACTTTTTTCATGGTGTTTTTCAGTTGGTTTAAGTCGATCTGCTCCTCTATTCTTTTCTAGAATCTCCCTGAGTAAGTTTTAGGTAATCTAACAAGTAAACCAGTACTGGGGATGGGACTCAGGAAAGAGACCATGCACAATTGCTTAGTTTCTAACTGTGGTGGCGCTTTCACGTTGTCTGACTTGCTGAGCCACGCCCATCTTCGCTGGCTATCAAATGCTGATGTGGGGGAAATTGGCTGGGCTCTCTCCCGCTTGGACTGTATTCTCCTTGCCCTTGCCCACACCTATAGGTGTCTAGACTTTCTTGTGAAAATGATATTTTGTTTTCATTAGGCTAAATTTGTTCAAGGGAACCCACCTCCCCCCCCTTAAAAAACACTGTGTCTCATGATCAACGTGGATAAAAAAAAAAGGGGGGGGGAGGAAACCTAATTTCTTACAAAATCTTTGAATCTGTCAGTTTAACTTAGCAGGAATAAAGTGATAAACAAATTTGAATTGTGGTAACTGACTAGTTAAACACACACATGTATCTATATCCATATTTTTATTTAAAAAGTTTCAAGATGCCTAAGGTATTTCTTGCCTTTACCTGTTCTGAGTATAGGTGAAAGAAAGTGAAAGGAAAATGCATAAGCTCCTAATATTCTGAGAGCTAGTGGTGGCGTTTGCTACTTGTCCTGCCTCCTTATCCAATTATCAGCTGTCTCTTTCGGCAAGTACTCAACCAAACTCTGCTTTAGTTTCCTTTATAATACATTAGTGGTAGTGAGGTGCTGGCAATAGCACCTAACTTAGATGGACTATGGAGGTTAAATAAATTAATGCATGTAAAACACTTAAGTATCGAATGTTTGGTTATGGCTATGAGAATGAATATTGCCATGGTTATGACTGAGATTTTGGAAGTATGACCCTAAAAGTAGGGCTAACCTGAGTTAGCCCTGATCTAAGGTTGTCAGGCAGTTGAGCTACTACTAAGGGCCTTTGGCCAACCATTCTTCAAATATCAGAGAATGTTGGGGATGTTAGTCATGGGCAAAGTTTCTGCTCTGTCATATTCCACGAAGGCCTAGAGACTAAGACGCTCCAGGAGGACAGAGGAGGACTTCTGTTAGGCAGGTGTTGACTGTAGCCCCAGCTTACTAATTCCAGTTTCTACTAATGCCGGAAGTGATCCTTTCAAAGGGACCTCTAATACTCACAATTATCTGCATCTGCACATATATTCCCTTCAGCCAAACACCATGTGTTTTAGAAGATAACACCTCTGTGAAGAATAATGACTCATAAAGTCTAAGAGTCTTTTTTCCTCTTTCTAATTATAGCTGGTGTCCAAGGAGTTCTTGAATTGCTAGATAATATTTTATAGACCCTGAAGTTGGAGAATTTAGCAAGTGGCCTCACATTGCCACTGACTTAACGGATAGTTTCAAACACATGTGAGAAGATCAGAAAGCTGGGTGTCCTGAGCATACATTTTCATGGAAATTTATGGCCGTGTCTGAGCACAGTCACATCAGTAATGCACATCTATAGGTAGTTTACCGGGTTAAATAGCTGTGGTTTTGGATTTAACTGCCAACTTATTACTCTAACAGTAATTCCAGACAAGGGAGTAATAGAGTGAAGGGGCCTGCTCAGGTTGTTACTGCTGCCTATAAAAACAAATAAGATTCTTAGGGTTTAATTAGAGGACTGATAATTATACCTGCAGCATGCTGATGATGTTAAAATGGGAACATTGGACATCTGGAAGATGAGTCTAGATTTGGCCACTTGCCTTTAGGAACCTAAGTCCATGAGACTGTGACTGTCCAAAGGAGCAGTGATGCTCACACCCGGGGTCTGTACCCAGGCAGAAATGGCAGAGGCGATCATGAGCTGGTCTGCAACGTGGAATAATTCAGGAGAGACAAATGGAATAGGTCTTTAAAACCATAAGGACTCCAGGATGATGACTAACTTCTTGGGCCCTAACATGAAAAGAAGTGATTTAAAAGAAAGAAGAGTTACATACAGAATGTGCTCCTTCTTTATAAAAACACACATGGCCCCCGGAACTCACAGCCACGCAGGACGTCAGCTGGCCTCCGAGAGTTCCTTTAGGGAAAGTGACTGAAGCGCCACCTACGATTCACAGGCTCACTGGAAAGGGTCTGGAAAGGGGCACATACAGCAAAGGGTATAGAGTAGCTTTGTGCATCATTTTCTCCTTCTGACCTCTCTTTTCTATCCCCAATTTCAAATAATCACACACACACACACACACACACACACACACACACACACACACTTTATGTTTTCTCAAACACATGAGAAATGTTAATGAGAGAGATAGGACCCTTGTTTCCATTTTTTCTTTCCAGTTATGAAAAGTAAGGTTTTTTTTTTGTTTGCTCTATATATGATTAGAATAACTTTGACAAAACTGTCTCTATACTTTACAGCACATCCCATCTAAAACTAGTTTTTTGTCATTTATGAGTAAAATTTCAGGCTTCTTAGCATATTTTCTAGTCTCTCTTTCTCCATAAAGAAATGATTTCAATGTCTCTAAGTTACTAGGAATTCACTCTACATGGTCCAGCAAAATTTAAATTATACAACTTGGACTACTCTAGAGTAAAGCTCCTTAAAAAGAAAGAGCACAGCTTAAGAGTATGGTATAGAGGCAAGAGTTAATGGAGTAGAAAAGCAGTAAAAGGTTAGTTTAGAAGGTTTAATACTTATGATCTGACAGCGCATTGTCACTACCCACTCGATGGGAGACACAGATAGGATAGGTGTGTGTAAAGAATATAGCAGTTCATGAATACTGAGCCATGATACGAAAAATCAAGATGAAATAAGTACAATTGCAACTATCTTGGTCTATTAATATTCAAATATTAATACCTGCTTTTCTTTGAAAGATACTACTGAGTATTTACTGTCCAAAAAAAAATGATGGTATGGGAAAAGAAACACGTTCCAGACATGCATTTAAACAAGAGTTAAATGACATGTGGCTTGCTTAACTCAGTTGACTGATTAAAATAAGTCTCCCATCCAAATATGTCTTCTACTTTAGGGTCCCTTGGAAAGAATTTCTTAATGCATTACAACTTTTCACACAGGTCACACATGATCTTATTTTTCAAAGACCTGGATTTAATATTTGAATGCAGTGGTATTTGACTTTGTTAGTACAGAATATTCGAACTTAAAAATGCCTTAGTTTGTTTATGCATAAGCCTATTAAAAATGTTTCTAGGGCTCTTGTTATGTTTATCCTCTAGAACATAACCTATCTTTGAAGTGGTGTATTAGTTTTTAAGAAGTCATTCCCAAGCTGAATAATTAGACTGAAAACAAAAGCTATTCTTAGAGTACATTTCACATATAAAGCTATGCACATGATGCTTTGATTCAAATAATATTCTTATGAAACTTTGTTATTGTTTGAGGTCTATATTCACAGTGGCAACTTTTGTTTCTGATGATTATTCCATCCTGAAACAATCCTCCCTGCCCCCGCCTAATTAAACCAGAATTAGGAGCACATTTACATCTGATGAAGCTTAAACTTCTCAACCGCCCGCTTCAGAAGCAAAGACCTTCAGTGGCTGTGCTCATTCTGTCTCTGTATAGAGAGACTCGAAAGAAAACAGAATCAATTCCTTTAAGTTTTCCTGGAAGAGGAAGGTTGTTTTTGTTTCTTTGATCTTAGCACGTTGTGTATTTTTTATTGGCTGTTGAATATAAAAAGCCATATAGCCTCATCTGTTTTTTCTGCTATATTCCCATACTGTAAATCACATAATGCCTTCCAACTTAAAGTAAAATGCCTAGGTCCAAAATATCATTTCACAATTGATTTATCATTGCAGCTGATAGAAAGATTTCCAGGGTGTAAAAAAACTATCCAATGTTTGATTAATATGCCACAGACTGTTAAAAATACATCCATGCACTTTATGCAACAAATTCCAGGATGTAGACATTCACTCACGCTATTTTAGATTCCTTTTCCTATCATTGTGGGAGGCTGTTGTAGCTAATGGAGCAGCTGGCTAGGTTATTGCTTCTATAATATAATCTATAATGCAAAAGCAGCTCTTTCCCAAACATTTTGGAGCAACTCAAGTTGTTTGCATGTCTCTTTTAGGTAATTTTCCTATAACTTTGTGCCAATTGGTGTCATACTATTTGGTAAAAGTCTTCATTAAATCAAGACAACTGCATTTAGTTAAATTTCTCTCATACTGAGAATTATAGGAAAATTACAGTTAGCTGATTCAAGGCCATCATCATGAAGTAAATACAGTGTTTTAGAAAATGAATGCAAACTACAAAAATGGAGTTGTATAATTAAACATCAAATAGTCCAAGTAATAAAAGTCATAGATTAATTGTCTCTCAGTTCTAGTCAGATCCTTTAAATACTGTCTCACGACCTGAGCATTGGTTCTTTCATCAGAAGAGTGTCTATCCTTAAAGTTTGGAAATTTCAGCTCCTTTGGAGCACCAATCAGCTGTAAAAAGTAATTGGCATCTTCTTCCAAAGTTTCAAATTTCCCAACAAAATCATAGTTGATCAAACATGGATAGCAGAGTTTGCTGACCTTTTCCCAGTGAATGTCCATTCCTACTGGGCGGTGGGAATCCAGCAAATAGTGAACGAACTCTTTGAATTTGACTCCAGATCCATTATTTAATGCTTTTTCACAGGCATTTGGCCGATATTTCTTTATAATTGCTTTCCCAAATACCGGATGGTAATAACTATTGGGGTGTTCAAATTTGTCCCTAAATGCTGACACTAATCTTTCCATGGGATCACGAACAAACACAGCTTTGGTGTAGGTATTCAAACGAGTATATATGCCTTTTAAGTCAAAGCTGTCGAGCTTTTTCAAATGTTTCCCATAGTGAACAGCATCGTGGGAGATGTTGTATGCTGAGGGAGCCAATCCATTTAGTACCATCAGAATTCTTTTCCAGTTGGAACAGCCAGCCTTTGGTACTTCACAATATAGTATTTTGTGTTTATCTTCTACGTAGATCCTAGATACCATGTGAAAAAGATGTGATTGAGGATGGCTCACTCCACCATATTTCTTGCAAAACTCCCGAAGGAAAGACCTGCGCCTCTCTTGGGTGGCATCAGTCCTCCTCCATTTGTTGTCTCTGACTAAACTTTTGTTTAAAGGGCGAATGGCCAATGGCCAACTCATTTCTCTGAACTTCTTGAAAAGGGTCTTAGTTCCTTGATGTTCTTCAGTCAACTTAGTGGTTGGTGACTCTATGGTCTTACCCAAAGGTTGACCCTTGCCTTGGGAGGAACTGGTCTCTGTTAAGACCCCACTAGACCTCTCAGAGTTAAGCAGAAGATTTTCCTTTTTTTCCTTGGGATCCTCAGGCATGTGGAACTTGGGGTTCTGTTAAAATAGAGAAGAAATGTTGAAAGCACATTCATGAATGTGGGTATATTAATAAGAAAGTTAACGTATTTGTTTTAAAATACTATCAAGGAGAGTACATCTCATATAAGGTAGGAGAACAATTTAGCAAAGCATGACAAATGTGCATTTTGCAGTAAGCTTCTTCACAGAAAACATAACAATAAAAAATTGTATCCATGCATCATCTTGACCAAAGCTTCACATTATATTTTAAATATATTTGGGTTACTTATATGTTATTATTAATTTAATGCTAATGTGCTGCCATAACCTAACAGATTTTCTCATGCTCAATTATATGAACATTATTGGGATAAAACTTAGTGATTGATTTGAATCTATGTTCATAGTGTATTCATTATTGTTTCTGTACTATCTTTGCATCTATGGTTATCAATTACATAGCCCTACAAAATGCCAAAAAAGAAAAAAAAAAAAAAGAAGAAAAAAGAAAAAGATATCCATAAGATAGAAATGAAAGGGCCCTGAATAGTTATCTTAGCTTTGCCTGTAACACAACAGAATGTAGTTCAATCATTCTGTAGGTCAGTGATTCTTGAGCTAGTAAGGAGTGTGTTCTTCCTAGCACTGGTTTAGTTAGTCCACCTGAATGTAGATACAAAATGTAGCTGTATTTGGATGGGAATCTTTGTTGTTGTTTTTGGGTCATTCTGTAATAGCAGTTCAAAGTCATAAATTAAAATTTAAAATTGTAACAAGGCTAATTATTAAATCTCGGTAACCACTTTTGTTTTCTAAGAACTTGCACAGAGTATTTTTTTCCCTTGGAAAATGTTTTATTTTTCTAAATTCACTTATCACAATAATTTAAGAACAACAGTCATACTATCATACAATTTCACTCATGTATGAGACCTTCCCTCTCCAAGAGAAGAATGACTAGGGAATCCAGAAAAGTCTACTTGATGTCCTCCTATATAAAATTGTATCAAAAATAGGATTAGAAATTAATTCTTCTGTCAGTGGGGTGAGTCAGCTCATCTACCATCTACTCTTCATCTGACTACATCCTTCCTACAACTTTCAGTGACTGGGTAAAGAAAGACATGGAAGAAGGGATTTATAAGGTGGGACCCTCTAATAGGGAATGAAATTTTAAGGACTTTGGCTTCTATTCTGGTAGACTAGATAGCCTTTAGAGAGCAGAGACATAACATGGTCTCACTTAGATTTGGAAAGAATGATTGAGAAGATTGGATTGGAGATACACATATAGGGTTGTCAGCATGGTATTAGAAACATTAATGAGTAAATGAAGTGCTGTGGGAGTAATGCATGGGGCCACCAGTCTAAAGGGGGGGAGTGTAGGGGAAATTTTCCTAGAGGAGATGTGTATATACAGAGAGATGTAGATATAATATTTACTATTGTATCCCCAAGTGTCCAGAATGGTATATAACCTATAGCAATGGCTCTAGAATATTTGTTCAATGAACAAATGAAAGCATCAGTGGATTTAGGTGCTTAAAGATGATTAGGAATTTTCTAGCATACTGAACAAAAGAGCTGAGGAATGAAGCATGGTGGATGAGAGCCACTTCCAAGCATCATTGTCCTTCCATTAGCTGAGTTTTAAGGGGGTGCTTCTTTCTAGTGCAGGATTATGTGAATAACCCTTCATCACCATACACCAACTTGTGTAACCCCATAAAACAGCTGCTGCAATGTTTAACTCTAAAATCATTTGTCTGCTGTCTTCTCAGAGACTTCTAAGATGACTTCAAAACTCTGAATCTCTCTTTGCTTTGACCAATGATGTGTAGTCCATAATGTTTTCACAGGTAATGCAAAATCTGGCTTGAGGTTTGAAAGATCATGGGGTTATTGGTAGACTGCATGGGTAGTGCTTAGCCCAGGCCTGAAATGAAAATATCACTATATTTCTGCTATTTCTTCAGCTTCTATAACTATAAATAATAACTGCTATTATTATTGCTTTAATAGTAGTAGTATTTTCCATTATTATCCAGACTGTAATTTGTGTGCCCCTGTATATGTCCTAATTAGTTCTCTCCCTGCCATAGTAACACAAAGACACAAATCTGCCTTTCTCTGTGCCCTCTGGACCATCTGCTTATAGTCATCAAATTCCCCTTTCTTTGATCTCCAGGGACTTCTGGAATGTTTGTTTCCCATGACTTTCTCTAAATGAAACCTGGCTGGGCCCCCAAGACTCTGCTTTCCTCACACTTTCTCAAGCAGATGAAACTTCGTTTACTGGAACCACTTGTTCCTCAGGCCAGAAGATAGGAGGCCATTTCCTTCCACACCAACTGCTGCTTCCAGAATGGTTCCTCTGGCAAAACCTCCTGCTCTGTGAAGCACGCGTCCTGCTGAGCCTCCCTTGCCCCCTCCTCAAGCCGTCATCTGCCTTTACCCTTGACTTTTCTACTTCATACTCTGAAGACGTCAGCTCCTAGCTTGGATTTTGCTTCTTTGTCCCCACTCTGGTTAGTATGTGCAGAGACTCTGAACCTCAATAAACTCTCGGTTCCTTGACCACCTTACCTTTATTTTTTATTTTTAAAAATTTATCTTTATTGATAATTAATATTTGACAAAGGAGGCAAGGGCATACAATGGAATAAAGACAGTCTTTTCAATAAATGGTGTTGGGAAAACTGGTCTGGTACATGCAAAAAATGAAGCTAGACCACCAATCCACCTCACTTTTAATAAAAGTGTCCTCTATTTCACATAGACCTTGCCATTGCCAGAGCCTGCACCACCTCCATTATCTCTCTGACCACCATTGTCTAACCACTCAGCTCATTGTTACGTCCAGTTTTGCAACTCTACGACCATTTTTCATGTTATCCAAGCTCTTAGCAGTCAGCATGCCTGGTTCTTTTTCCTTTAGCTTTCAGAAAGTCACCTCTATAAGGAGGTGTTTCCTGTTCACCTTGTCTAAATTACGTTCTCCTCTGAGATTTGCTTCCACAGAACCCTGCTTCTTTCCTCACAGCACTTATCAAAATGTGAAATAATTTTATTTACTTCTACGTTGTCTTTTCTCACTCCATCCCACCTCTTTTGCACTAGAATATGACTGCAGAGGTCTTATCTCTCTTGTTCTCTGTTGGGTCCTTGGTACGTAGCACAGTGCTTAGCACATAGAAGATGACCAATAAATAATTGGTGAATGAGTACATGTGATTATCATGTAATGATGGGCTTCCACACAATTGTTTTATGACCTTGTCAAAGACCTACAGTGTTAATCAAAAGGTCAAGATTAACTTAGATAAGTAATTTATCAATTCTTGTTAAGGTGCCGAAAATCTATATTCAAACAAATTTTTGGCAGAAGAAAAAACAAATAAAATAGGCACATGTAGAGCTGCTTGTGCTAAAGTAGGCGTGGTGGGCTTGGAACCTTACCTGTGGGCCAAATCAGATTGGTTCAAAGTCACTCAGTACTGCCTTGGAACCCCTGGAGGCTTGCCCTCAATCTGGACGCCCAGCCCTCACTGTGGGCACCCTGAAGCAGGATCTCTGGGGCTAGGGCACCTCACTCTAATTTAAACAAGTTCCTCTGCTGCTCTCCAGGCACTAATGGCATGTGGAGACCACTGAACTAGAGTGTTCATCTCATGACATTTGGTGAGAAAGACGTCAAGTATGGTGGGCCTGACTATTTCAGTAAGTAGAGACTAATGCTCTGTTTGTTGTAGGTCCATTGCCTTCACTTGGACCAGATTAAATACCCTTCACTTTTGCCATGTTCCATTCCTTTTGCCACGTTCCTCAAGCCACTTTCTGATGACTAGTTGGGCTAGAGAGATAACTGCACGAGAGAAAGGTTCATTGCTCATAAATTAGACTTCAATCTCCTGTAAGTTTACCTAGTATGAGTCAGTTTCCTCAGTTCTGTCCAAACCCAAGGACTTTGATCATTCATTCATTCAATCCACATGTACTGAACCACTATGACATACATACATATATATGTGTATATACATATATATATACATATATATATACACACACATATATACACACACACATATATATATATATATATATATATATATATATANCACACACACACACACACACACACACACACACACACATATAGGCATTTTACATACAAAGATGAAGAAGATAAAATTTATGGCCCTTTGAAGAAGCCAAATTTTAATTGGGTTGATAAAAGTAAGCAGTTTATGAAAAATATAATTGTCACAAGGAAAGGATGCATAGGATATCTGAGGAACAGAGAAAAGAATACTTAATTTTTCTCAAGAGATTTTTTGGGGGGCAAACTTCACAGAGGAAGAGATGCCTGAGGTGGGTCTGGGAGGATGACTGGAAGTTGTCAGGTGGACCAGTCAGGGATGAGAAGGACTGTACATGCTGCCATCGAGAAAACACTCGAGGGACCAGAGTCAGATGTGAGGGAGAGACAAGAGAGGCTGGGAGTCACTCTAGGAGGGCCTTGTGCCCACATGAAGAGACTAGATTTTGCTAGGAAGGTGACATGGATTTTCAATAAGGTAGGGACTTAAAAAGAATTTTCTAGCAGCATTGGGGAGTTATGACTGGGGGCAGCAGGTCTTTTAGAAGATGGTCATCACTGTCCATCAGAAATTCTTAGGAGAACTAAGATAATGGGTCAAAATGAAGAGAAAGGGAATTATTTGAGGAAATTTAGGAAATTGATCAGACTGGAAGAGTGATGCTAAAAGAACTGCAAAAAATGGCCTCCCATTTCCCAAGGAGAGGAGTCAGGAGCAGCAGTGCGAGGGTGCGGGGCCTGTGGGTGTTTATGACATTTGATTTCAGACCTCTGAGTTCTGGTGCCCTTGCCGATCTGGGTGTCGCCGTCAGGACTAAAGCTGGGTATCCGGCTCTGGAAGTTGCTGGCTGGTGGAGGTGCCGGCTGAATTTATGGGCCGTGAAAGCACTGCCTAGGCGGAGCAGCAGATAGGACCGCCACGCCTGCCATTTCC